GATGAAGGAACTAATGCAAATCATGTGTTAGGTACATATCTATCCATTTCCATTAGTCCAATATTCAATTCGCCTAAGCATTGGGTGTTGGATTTAGGGGCAACTAGTCACGTTTGTTTCAGACATGCATGTTTTCAGACTTTAAAAACAGTACAAAACTCCTATATTACACTGTGCCAGAATACATCTACATTTTTTTGGAAGTGTTAAACTCACCCCTGATTTAATATTTGAAAATGTGTTATTTGTGCCCCAGTTCAAAGATCAATTAGTTATCCATTAGAGCATTAACTAGAAACCCATCTATAAGCATCAAGTTTCTCACTGATTATTGTGATATTCAGGACCTATGCAGGTCGAAGATGATTGGCAGAGGTAAAAGAATTGGAGGTCTTTACATCTTTGATGCAACACTTAGTAAGATGAAAAAACAATGTAATTCCTCAAAATTTGTCAGTAATTATGTTCTATTGTAGTGAATAATGTAAATTCTTACGCCTTGCATAATAGACTTGGTTATTTGTCCTTTAAAAGACTAGAGTATTTGAAGGATCGGTTGCACTTTAAGAATGACAGTAAAAATATTAATGTTCCCTGTTCAGTCGTCCACTTGCCAAGCAAAGGCAGTTGTCGTTTGTTTTAAATAATCATTTATCCCCCAATGCATTTGATCTTGTTCATGGTGGTATTTGGGGTCCCTATAGTTCCTTAACATGTGATGGACACAGATACTTTCTCACCTTAGTTGATGGTTGTACAAGGTTTACTTGGGTTTATCTCCAGAAGCAAAAAGTCAGATGTTCTTACTATCATTCCTAAGTTTTCCAGGTTGATTGAAACATAATTTCATAAAGTGAATAAAGGCTTCAGGTCTAACAATGCTCCTGAGTTACATTTCTTAGAGTTTTTTTAGCTCAACAGGTGTGTAATCCATCAATTCTCATGCATAGAACGACTTGAGCAAAATTCCTTTGTTAAGAAAAAGCATCAACATCTACTTAATATTGCTAAGGCCTTATTCTTCCAGTCACAAATCCCTATTCAGTTTTGGGAAGATTGTATTCTCACAGCAACTTACCTTATCAATCGAACCCCATCAAAAGTCATACAAAACCAGTCACCATTTTCCTTGCTATACAAAAGTCCAGTAGACTATAATTATCTTAAAGTATTTGGAAGCCCGTGTTTTGCATAAACTCTTACATCTCATCACCTTAAATTCCATCATAGAGCAAGGGCCTTTGTAATCATTGGTTAACGCCCTAGTATCAAGGGATCCAAGTTGTATGATATTGCTTCCAAAATCGTTTTTATGTCCTGAGATGTGGTGTTGCATGAGAACATTTTCCCTTTTCGTACCATCTCAACTTCTAATGAAATCATTGACAATTTTCCCAACCTTGTTCTACTTGAATCTGCTCCTTAATATATCTACTCATGGTCTGACTAGCGATCTTGCTCCTGATTGCTCTCCACCTTCAGAGCCCATTACAATCCCATCCGCCACTCCTGTTCACCCAACTCTCAGGAGATCACTTAAGAATAGCAGACTCCCTCCTCATATTTTCAAGATTTCCATTGTAATCTTTTAGCCAACTCTTCCGTTCCTCAGCCCTACTCTCAGTATCCTTTAAGTGATTATCTTACCTATACAAAATCATCTGGGTCTCATAATACCCTTCTCTTCAACATCTCCTTAAACTTTGAGCCTCAATTTTATCATCAAGCTGTGAAATATGATCAATGGAAAGATGTTATTGTTAATGAACTGGCTGCAATGGAATGAAATAAGGCTTGGATTGTCACTAGTTTACCTAGAGGAAAGCATGCTATAGGTTGCAAATAGGTGTACAAAATCAAGTATAAATATGATGGAAGTGCTTATAGATACAAAGCATGTTTGGTGGCTAAAAGGTACATTCAACAGGAAGGGTTAGACTTCATAGAAACCTTCTCTCCATTTGCAAAATTGGTGACTATGAAACTTCTTCTAGCCATAGCAACTATCAACAAATGGCATATCATTTAATTGGATGTCAATAACATTTTCCTTCATGGAGATCTCTTCGAGGAAATTTATATGAATTTACCATTGGCAAACAAGGGGAGCATTTGGTTTGCAAGCTACATAAATCCATGTATGGACTAAAGCAGGCCTCACAACAATGGTTTTCAAAATTTTCTCATGCTCTCTTGTTATACGGTTTCCACCAATCCAAATCTAATTATTCTTTATTTATTAAAGGCTCTGGCATTGATTTTGTTGCATTACTCGTGTACATTGATGACATAGTCATCACATGTTCAAATCTTCAAGTCATTGAATCTTTGAACTCATTCATTCATAGTCAATTTAAGCTTAAAGATCATGGTAAGCTTAAATGTTTTCTTGGATTAGAGATTGCAAGGTCGCATCAAGACATTGTTCTATCACAAAGACATTATGCTCTTCAGTTGCTTGAAGACACATGATTTCTTGGCTGCAAGCCTGCTTCAATGCCTATGGATTAGGGATGGAAATTCGAACTGTCAAAATAAAAAATCGTGGATAAGCTAACCAAATGGGACGAAAAAATCGAACCGATGGTGCAGTGAGGTGGCTATAGTATTTGATTTTAATGCCTCGGTTTAGGACGAGACGAGTATAATATTTAGGTCGTTGTCTAACCCCGAACCAATTACCCGTTAAAAAAATTAATTGTGTAATTGAGTTTTCCATTATTCTTTTTATGATTTTGTCCAGTCCAAAATTTTGGTCCATTATCGGACCGTTAAGTTCAACTAACCTAACCCAATAACCCTACACCCTACTACACAAATATGATACATATATGGAAACTATTTGTTAAATTCGAATTTTACATTTGGGGATTGGGATATTGTTTGCTAAATTAGCTTAGTATTGTGTGTTTGTTTTCATTGATTTTTTTTTTTTTTTTGCGCATAAATTGTTTTTTTCAATTTGACAGCTGGACCTATAAAAAATAATATATTTTCGTGATTATTAATCGCGTCAAACTGAGTCGAACCTAAACCAACTTATGTGGTTATGGTGCGATTATGGTATGGTAAAAAAATAAGTGGTTCGGTGATGATTTTGACTAAACCGACCCCAAATCAAACCGTTGCCAACCCTACTATGGATCCCAAAGTTTGACTGTGCTCCTTTGAGGGGGAGCTACTAGAGGATAGTTCTATGTATAGAAGACTAATTGGCTGTATACTTTACTTAACAATTTCCAAACCATACATTACATTTGCCGTTCATAAACTTAGTCAATTTATATATCAACCGTGGAAGCCCCATTTAACAACTGTTCATCGCCTACTTTGATACATCAAAGCAACTCCAGGACAAGGTCTTTTATTCTTTGTTGAATCATCTTTATAATTGCTTACCTTTACCAATGCAGATCAGGGCTCATGCCTAGACTCTAGAAAATATGTCATCGGGTTTTGTGTGTTACCTGGGGGCTCTATGGTGTCTTGGAAGGCTAAAAAGCAAAGCACAGTATCAAGATCGTTTGCTGAAGCCGAATATCGTGCATTGGCTTCTACTACTAAGGAACTTGTATTGATACATCAATTACTTCTTGATTTCCACATAACATCTAAGAGTCTAACTGTGATCTTCTGTGACAATCAAGTTGTGGTACACATTGCCAACAATCCCATTTTCCACGAAAGAACCAAGCACATAAAGATAGACTGCCACTTTATAAAGGATAAGATCAATGACGATTTCATCAAGTTGCTTCCAATTCAAACCAATCATCAACTCCCTGACATCTTCACAAAACCTTTACCAGCAACTTCATTGTTCGATTTACAGTCCAAGATAGCTATCATCAATTTGCACAATCTACCTTGAGGGGAAGTATCAGGATAATCGGAATCGGCCACTTCCAAGGTCTCTAACTATCATCGAACAAGCTGACATCACCATCCGTCCATGATCCCTTATAAGAGTTTCCAGCTCAACAAGGTCCACTTCAATTCTGATTGCTTCATCAATATTAAGCCCATGTTTGACAACCATTAAAAAGAGTCCTATGGGAAAAACTCGAAACTGTGATTTTTTATTTTTATTTATTTTTTTGCGGAATGGTATTATAAAGTAGGTAAAATTTTTGGATTTACTATTGTATTGTGAGAATATGTAATTGAAAAGAACCTTGCCACATTTATACTATGGAACACACTTTAATTTACACTTTGCTATATGTCATTACTCTATTGGACAATTTAAATTTCAAATAATTTTTCCATCCAATTGACACTTGACAACAATGCAAGTGTCAAGAATCAATATATAAATAGCAAAATTTAATTGAAAATGAGTTTGAGAAAAACAAGATTTTATTAATGATCGTCAAGTAAAGGCTAAGTTTATTGCTACCCTCCTGCAAATGTCCAAGAAATGATCGACAGAGTTCGAATATACATGTTGAAATGGATGGGTTTGACCCACCTTACATTGTACCATAGCCACTTCTATCAAAACATCTTAAATTCTGCCCCGTACCGCCATGGATAATTTTATACTTCTCATCACATTTGACCTATAGCAAGCTTCAAAATTAACTCAGAACTACCCAAATTCCTATACGTGGATGATTAATATTTGGTTTACGCAACGAAATATATATCAATATTTTAATGTAGTATTTTCCACAGGAATTTTTATACCAATGAATTTTTGTTCTACGTCATTTAGCTATACATCCGTACTTGATTTTGATCATCGAATAAATGAAATTTTGGCGAACTGATCAATCATGCTATATGTACATTAAATTTGACATCATGTGAGTTGACATATTTTTATACATTGATTTTAACAATATTTTCAATCAATGACCAAATTTCTTATACATGGAAAATGTCAAATTTGATGTCAAGAAATGTCCAAATAGCATGAAATCAATAGCACAAAACAACACAAGGGTAAAAGAGACATTTCGTATATCAACCTAGCACATACGAAACCCTAGCACCCCCACTCCAAATCCGCTTCTCATATTAATTAGAGTTTTATATGTAGTCCCCCACCTCAGCTTCTTTCATTTTGCCACTGTAACTATCGAGCAGCGCTGCCGTCATCTACCCGCCACTCCACCGCCATGGTATTTATGTCTTTCTCTCTGTATTTTTCTTCTCTGAAATTTTATGTATATAAACATATTAATGTATGTCTATGGATATAACTTCCTTCCTCGTTTATTCATGTGTGTGAAAGCAGGCGTCAGAGAAGAAACTGTCGAATCCGATGAGAGAGATCAAGGTTCAGAAACTCGTTCTCAACATTTCCGTCGGCGAGAGCGGAGATCGTCTCACCAGAGCCGCTAAGGTACATTTCGTTCCTACGATATTCCTGTGCACCCGCATTCGACATTTTTCATTAAATACTGTTGTTTGCTTCTATAGTTTGGTGTTTTATTTTCTATTTTTCGAAATCATTTTCCAGGTCCTCGAACAGCTCAGTGGACAATCCCCTGTTTTCTCGAAGGGTACTTTTCTCATTTTACGGATGCTGATTTGAATTTTATTATATACTAATTTAAATTGGCTCCCCAAAAGAATGAGTTTTGCCATAGAAGTTACTTGACTGGCACGACTTCTTTTTAATTCATAGTTCTACAGTTATTTTGTTTTGTTTGAAGGAAATAAAACGCGGTTTCATTATTTTGCTATTAAATAGTTGATGCGATTGAAAATCGTGAAGCTAATGTAGCATAGAATTTGTTTACATGGTCAATCTACAAATTTGGAATATAGGATAAAAAAAGTTATTATTTGATCAAAATGTACTAAAGTAGAAGACAAAAGAGCCTTTCTCGTCAGATTAGATTTTAAGAAATAATCTGCATTATCTCATGTTTCCTACTAATCTCGTATTCCTTTCTTTAAGTAATGAAAATTGTGTTCTTAATTCCGTTGATCAGTGCGTAGTTTGTGATATAATTTTGATCACTACTTGTTGCAATATTAGTTTTATAATAAGATCAAAATACCGCACAACTGGTTTGGAAGTTGGAACCCTACTTTTGAACCTTGATCCCTCCTGACCCTTCCATTAGGTTAAATTATTAGTAAACCTCAGTATATTTTCTAAACATGTTTTTTTTTGGGGTTGGCAGCAAGATACACCGTGCGGTCCTTTGGTATCAGACGTAATGAAAAGATTGCGTGCTATGTCACAGTTAGGGGCGATAAGGCAATGCAGCTCCTTGAGAGTGGGTTAAAGGTCAAGGAATATGAACTGTTGAGAAGAAACTTCAGTGAAACTGGCTGTTTTGGCTTTGGTATCCAAGAGCACATTGATCTTGGCATCAAGTAAGTAAATAAATTATGTGGAGTAGTACTGACTTGATTCTTTAAGCCAGGAGATGTTACTGATGTAATGTGACTAGGGCGTGTTCATGCAAGTTTATCTGGGTGTATTGGGTTGGTTGGTTGGTTTTTATAGCTATGGATGGATGATATGCTTTGCTATGTTTGGTAGTTCCAAATTGTCGCCAAACATTTTGCTGTAGTTATCACTATGTAGCGCCAGCTAAATCAATCTCCTAAAGTAATGATCACGTGGATATGATTGTGTCAAAAATTCTTAACTAAAAATTTTCATGAACAAGGTTACTGTACAAGCAGTGATATCTGCTCATTTTATTTTATTTTTTACTGTTTTCAGGTATGACCCTTCAACTGGTATCTATGGTATGGATTTCTATGTTGTCTTGGAGCGCCCTGGTTATCGTGTGGGGCGTCGTCGTAGGTGCAAGTCACGCGTTGGAATCCAGCACAGGGTCACAAAGGAAGATGCAATGAAGTGGTTCCAGGTGAAATATGAAGGTGTTATTCTCAACAAGTCCTCCAACATTGCAAGTTAGTTTGATAGCACCGTTGGGACTATCCTATCAAAGCTTTAAAGTCTGCATTTTTCTCGACCGAGATTTGTTACTTTTTGAGCCCAAATTTTTGGAGAACTACTTTTACGTGTTTTGCAGAAGAGTTGATCTTTTCTCTGAGGTTAATTTAGTTGTATTATTATCAGTTAATATGGCTTTTGAAATGTGACGTCAATGGCGATCACTGGCATGCTTTGACCTTATGATGAAACCTTTGATTTTTCGTTTCCAAACACGGGTGACATGATGAGCTAATGTGTCCTAAAGTAAGAATCAATCTTAACATTCTTGGAGTTGCATAGAATGGAATGCCTTGAATATATATGTCTTGCTTTATTCTGATCACTATCATCTCCCATTGCTGCAATCCCCAATTGCACCAACCATCATGACACTCCACAACCCTGGCGCAACATGCTACGCCACTCAGCTCCCAAGAATCTGGGTTTAATTCAGCTGCTGCTGGTCTCTAGTGAACTTCGGTAAGAATAATTGTCATACATGCTAGAATCATGCAGAGTCAGCAACCATGGATTAAGTACAGGCTAGAAGTTTCGACTCAGCGTGAAGGGTCTCAATCTCCATCTACCTCAAAACCCCCTAGAAAGCACTGTCAAAAACACCATCCCATAGAGATTTATATAGTTCTGATGCAAAGGGAATACCTAAACAAATGCTGCATATCTGTTCTTTCGACAGTTACTTTCTTTGGCCATGGTAGTTCCATAACACATTCATTCATCGAGAGGTGATTTTCTACAAGCTTTGGTAGCATCGGGGTGTTCTTGTTTAATCAGCCACGTTAAGTACACATGCCAAATTAATAAAAAACTTGGATAGCAACTGTACATTGGAATGGCATTTGCCAATTTCTAAAGCAGTCGACTGCAATGTCAAAAGTCAGCGGTTAAGGATACAAGTATTAAAGGCGCAAAGGTTGAAAAACCACCACCAGTATTTAGCAAAGAAAACGCAGGACAATTTACTCTTCTTCAGCAACTAATCTAATAGGAATCAAGAACCATCACCTTTAGCAGTTGACAAGTTTATAGCATGAAGTTAAAGGACCTTATAGCCTGTAATCTGTCAATCTGGTAGTTATTAAGTTTGTAACTTCAAGTTATCAAACCCGCAGGAGTTTGAACAAAAGGATCGAAAGTTTCCACATAGAGGGCAAATCGTGCTATTAGATCAAAGTACTTTCGATCACTTGTTGACACTGGAAAACTTAAATGTCATTTGAAGCTGGAATGTGGTGAAATAAAGCTTCGTGGACGAGCTGGCATGAAAATTACAGGACTTATTATACAACTTGGTAAGCCTTATGAAGCAGTGGCCAAAACCCGTGACGTTTTGGGTCGAGCATAAGAGAATGCATCAACTCAGGCAGGGTACAATACGAACAACATTACGCATGTTAAAGCCGTGGAACACACAAATCCATCTCTCTTTCCCATGTAAAATGTCCCAAAACTAAACACACAACACAAGTGCATGTCAAATACCTTATCTAAGGTGCAGTTCATTCTCCGTGATCCTCAATTAGTTCCATACAAACTTTCTAATCTCAAAATGTTTTAGGTAAAGAAGCCTCAAACATACTAAAATCATATACCAATATCAAGAAAGCGAGGGCATATCATGGGATTATGAGCCTTTTTCCAGCATAGATGGTGTCCCCTGTAAGTCCATTTGCATCCTTTATCGCATCAATTGAAACCTAAACCTAGTCCAGTAAAACAAATGAGTAAAAAATACATATTAAAAAACAAGAACATAATGCGGAAAATACAAACTATAGACGTCAGCAAAAAGAAAATAAATTAAGACAAGTGCAATTGTATGCACGCCATATTTTCTTGATAAGCCCAAAGACTCCTTTCATAATCTGTATAGTTTTATGTGAAGGTTCCACCACATTTTGCTCAACAGTAGTAGTCACGGGATTCTACGTAAACATCAAAAAGTAATGAAGATACACACTAAATCAAATTCAATCGCACACATAAGCATAAACCATAATAATGTTCATGAATCCTCCTGATACAACCTCTGATGCTTGGACTCTTCGAAATGGACGAAATACCCCTGTTGTTTTCATATGTATCGAATCCTTCAAATTTTAACCGGATACTTTGTTGTTTCTACTTCTTTTCTTTTTCTTTCCCTTTTTTGCTTTCTGTAAACCTAGCGCCACTGCCAAAAGGGTGGAGGAAGGCGACGGTGCTAGGTTTTCATTTTTTATTTTATTTTATTTTAAACTTCGTGTTTCACTAAGTCGAAATTACAATCAAATCTCTCATTTTCTATTTTATTAAAGCATTTAATAATTAACTTTCCATAATTGAAAATTAAAATCTAAAATTCTATTTTATTCTTCTTAACCTTTTATTCAATACTCATTTCCTTCTTTGTAAAGGATTGATTTTGATCTATTTAAAATGAAATCTCAAGTTAGTAAAAAAAAAAAATTGAAGTTTGGAAAACATACCTCATACCCGTGTCCGGAATTTGGTCTCTTTTTAGCCATATTCCCGCATCCTATATTTTAGAAAATAAAAAATATGACAATTGGATATGTATCCGTACCCGATAGACCGATACTCGTACCCGAGTTCGAGCATAATAGGATACAACAGTACACCAAATTTTTCAATATCCATCGCACAAAGCTCCATGAAAAAGACCAAAACACATCAACATCGGTATATTATGCTCTACGTTGCAATAATTTTTTTATGGGAACGAATTACAGGTTACTAATTTTCTATTTACAAACCTATGAAAACCAAAATAACAAAAATACTAGAGAAAGTTTGTGTTGCCTTGAAAACGGCATCTTGGAATAGACACAGCTGAATAGGGGAAGCATTGCCATATGAATTTCATTTGAAAAAAAAATAAAAAATGCAAACCCGTCTTACTGGAGATCATGATACTTCTGGGAAAATTGTTTCAATTTCAGTATGGTCTATTGTCAACGTAGTCCATTGTGATTGTGTTGGATCTCGATGACTGGATTAGAATTGAACTATACGAACGGAGAAAAAGGATTTATATATTTATTAACGCTTAGTTTGCTGTCGTTGTTTTAGTATTCACATGATTGTAATATCAAAATACAAGTAAAATTATTGTAATCCTTGAAGTTCAGCATAGTGAATCATTTGCATTCATTGATCATTTACATCAACCACAACCAGAAATAGACAAAATTCAGCAATGTTGCTTCTTTCTTTCTTTCTCTCTCTCTCTTTATTTATTTATTTTTAACTTAATAAAAGTAAAAACTTCCTTCTATTTTCAAAACCATCTTGTTGGGCTATGATGCCAACATGATCAGTCCAAAATATAGGCAATGATGATAAAAATTCAGGCCCAACAGATAACAGCTGATTAACCCACTTTTTGATACTAAGATGACCCACTTAAATCGAGCCCAATAATCAGCCCATATCCTTAGTCGCTCTGGAACCGTTGGATCGACCCACTGATCAATGGTTGTTGGATTTTAGTATAAATAATATCTCTCTCTCTTTCTCGGTAGATTGAATCGTCATTTCTCTATTCTCTGATTTCTTCGTGTCTTCTGGAACCTTCAAGGGTTTTCGTCTCTGTGACTCTTTCATCTTCTCTGTGTGAGATTTTTTGTTGATTATCTTGGTGATAATCGTGTCCTTATGTGAGTCTCCTTTGTGTGAGTAAACTGCTGAGAGAAGTGGTCTGTCCATTTCGGTTCCATTGAAGCGACTTTGTATGGTTTGGGATTGTGAGGGCTTGGGGTTTGAGTTCGGTGTCTCTATGAAGTTTATGGGGCGTATGGTCTGAGCCTATGAAAGATCTAAACCTTGATGCTGTGGTTTAGGTTTTCTTGTAAAGCTGTTGTAAATTTTTGGTTACATCTTGTTGACACACTAAAAGTGCAGCCCAAATCGAATAGCTCAAAGAATGAAACCCAATTTGGGAATTCCCAAATCAAATAGCCCAAAGAATGAAACCCAACTGGGCAATTCAGGATAAAGGCCGAGATAGGGTTATTAATGAATGCAGTGGAAGCCCACGAACACGGTAACATCATCGCCCAAGCTTGCAAGACGCCCAAGATCTGAGCGAATGAAGTGCCTTACAGTCGCCCAGAGCTATGACCCTATTCTAGCCCAAACCTTCGAATCGCCCAAGATCTTAGCAAAAATAAGATGTTATGGTTATCCAAAAGTGCAGTTATTGAAACAGTTATTGAGTAACCTTATCACGTTCCACGATTCAAGGAGTTCAGTTGAAGACGATTGAACAACAAAGAGTAGTGGCAGCAGTTAAAGACGACGGTTCCACGACAAGTTAGCCACCATAAAGAAAGTGGATAGTTATAAAGCAATCAAGCAGTTTCTAAGTGGTTGATCACGAAGAAATCATCAAGGGAATATAAAAGGAAGAGAAGACATAGAGCAAAAGACCCGAATCAAACACTTTCAAACAGAGACTGTAATTTCAATTTCTTAGTTTAGACTTAAACATTTCTTTTCAGTACTCGTGTACTTGCGCCCCTTGGAGGCATTCTGTTTAGTTCTAGTTGTAAAGTCATCGCCAATAAAACACCCCTTTTTAGGACTTTGTCTTAAGAGGTTTGTTCCTTATACAATCGTCCGATCCCTTTTTAATTGTTAGCGACTACCCGCGCGAAATAATTTGGCACGCCCAGTGGGACCTTGGTGTTTGGTGTTGAAGATACAAAAGGTGAAACAATATGCCTCAGAAATCTGATAAGAAAGCAAGTCAGTGAGGAGTCCAGTCTGTGATCGAGCGATATAAGGAGCAGCATAGCTCTCCACTAATAGATGGACAGAATCAGAGCAGTCATAATCGTTACGAACCAATGACGGAGTTGAGTCCTCGAACTATGCGTGCATTACTTGGAGAACTCACACAGGATGTCGTTGAACAGGTAAATCTACGAAATATTCATCGCATCCTATATTTTAGAAAATAAAAAATATGACAATTGGATATGTATCCGTACCCGATAGACCGATACCCGTACCCGAGTTCGAGCATAATAGGATACAACAGTACACCAAATTTTTCAATATCCATCGCACAAAGCTCCATGAAAAAGACCAAAACACATCAACATCGGTATATTATGCTCTACGTTGCAATAATTTTTTTATGGGAACGAATTACAGGTTACTAATTTTCTATTTACAAACCTATGAAAACTAAAATAACAAAAATACTAGAGAAAGTTTGTGTTGCCTTGAAAACGGCATCTTGGAATAGACACAGCTGAATAGGGGAAGCATTGCCATATGAATTTCATTTGAAAAAAAAATAAAAAATGCAAACCCGTCTTACTGGAGATCATGATACTTCTGGGAAAATTGTTTCAATTTCAGTATGGTCTATTGTCAACGTAGTCCATTGTGATTGTGTTGGATCTCGATGACTGGATTAGAATTGAACTATACGAACGGAGAAAAAGGATTTATAGGAATAGACACAGCTGAATAGGGGAAGCATTGCCATATGAATTTCATTTGAAAAAAAAATAAAAAATGCAAACCCGTCTTACTGGAGATCATGATACTTCTGGGAAAATTGTTTCAATTTCAGTATGGTCTATTGTCAACGTAGTCCATTGTGATTGTGTTGGATCTCGATGACTGGATTAGAATTGAACTATACGAACGGAGAAAAAGGATTTATTTATTTATTAACGCTTAGTTTGCTGTCGTTGTTTTAGTATTCACATGATTGTAATATCAAAATACAAGTAATATTATTGTAATCCTTGAAGTTCAGCATAGTGAATCATTTGCATTCATTGATCATTTACATCAACCACAACCAGAAATAGACAAAATTCAGCAATGTTGCTTCTTTCTTTCTTTCTCTCTCTCTCTTTATTTATTTATTTTTAACTTAATAAAAGTAAAAACTTCCTTCTATTTTCAAAACCATCTTGTTGGGCTATGATGCCAACATGATCAGTCCAAAATATAGGCAATGATGATAAAAATTCAGGCCCAACAGATAACAGCTGATTAACCCACTTTTTGATACTAAGATGACCCACTTAAATCGAGCCCAATAATCAGCCCATATCCTTAGTCGCTCTGGAACCGTTGGATCGACCCACTGATCAATGGTTGTTGGATTTTAGTATAAATAATATCTCTCTCTCTTTCTCGGTAGATTGAATCGTCATTTCTCTATTCTCTGATTTCTTCGTGTCTTCTGGAACCTTCAAGGGTTTTCGTCTCTGTGACTCTTTCATCTTCTCTGTGTGAGATTTTCTGGTGATTTTCTTGGTGATAATCGTGTCCTTGTGTGAGTAAACTGCTGTGAGAATTGGTCTGTCCATTTTGGGTTTCATTGAAGCGACTTTGTACTTCGGGATTGTGAGGGCTTGGGGTTGAGTTCGATGCCTCTATGAAGTTTATGGGGCGTATGGTTTGAGCCTATGAAAGATCTAAATCTTGATGCAGTGGTTTAGCTTTTTCTTGTAAAGCTGTTGTAAATTTTTGGTTGTATAATTTCAGATCTTGGATTGATAACTTGGTTGAGAAAAGAACTGAAAATTCTTGTCGTGTTATGGCTGAAAAAAAATCAGAAAATTTGAAAGTTCTAAACTATAACTATGAGAATATTGTCACTTGTTTAAGCTAATAAACGAAGTATTGAGAATTATGTGGCTTGTCCAAGATACAAGAAGTAAGTTCATCTTCGCACCATAATCTAAGAGTAAATGATCTCCGCGGCCTTTAATATGCAATTTTAACCTTCCATCATTTACAATCTTGCATCTTTGGGGTGAATTACCCAAATGGTCATTAAACTTTGTAAAAAGTTTCCACGAGGCCATCGAGCTTTAAAAATACCCCAATTCATCACTGATTTTGTAAGGTTCAGTGATGAATTATATGATTTCTAAAGTTCAGTGATCTCGTGAAAATCTTTTGTAAAGTTCAGTGATGAATTTGATGATTTTTAAAGTTCAATGACCTTATGGAAACCTTTTACAAAGTTCAGTGACCATTTGGGTAATTCACTCTGCATGTTTCATATGCAAAGTATCGTCTTTTTCCTCAAGTAATCTTTGTCGAAGAAAAATACGAACCAATGACGGAGTTGAGTCCTCGAACTATGCGTGCATTACTTGGAGAACTCACACAGGATGTCGTTGAACAGGTAAATCTACGAAATATTCATAATATGGAAAGATTTACCCAGAATGAGAATGCACATTATGACAACATGGCCAAACAACTGAATACTTTGAATGAAATAATGAATAAGTTAGTACGCCATATTTGTCAGCTAGTTGTACCTCTTGCAAATTACTTCCAAGCTAAGACAATTGTGGGACATAATCCCCCAGTCCTAAGTGCAAATCAAGGGGTAGAACCACCTTTTGGTCCCTCTACTTCAAATCAGGGGATGGTGTAATATCAAATCAGAATAGTGGCAATAGTACATCTAACTTGGGGGGTAACCTAAACGTAACAGACAATGTCCTAAATAATGGACAGAATGCCCCACGTGTTAATAATGGAATAAATATTCAGGCCAATGGTAACAATGGCCCAATTCATGGCAACTTTGTTGCCAATCAAGGACCAAATATCAAGCCTCAAGCAAATCAACCGATCAACCAACCTGTAAGAATTTCATATGACCCCAACGTCATGTTGAGAAATCAAATTATGAAAATAGTACAAGATCAAATCATGGGCAGAGCCACGTTGAGGCGAGTGCAGGTATATGCCCGCACTGAAATTTTAGGCCCAAATTTTTATTTATTTTTATTTATTATTATTATTTTTTTTAGCAACAGGGGAGGTGGAATAAAAATATGTTTTAATTTACATGAGTTTTATTTTTAAGTCCAAATCCATGATTTTGTTTTATAGTTTTATTATCATTAAATTCATGACCAAAACACAATGTTTGACATAGGTTAAATTATGCCCACACTCAGTGGCGGATCCAAGAAAAAACTCAACACGGGCTAATACATAAAAAAAAAATACTTCACATAAAAAAAAATTTTTTTTACTTAAATTTTTTTTTAATGGACATTTGGGCTGAAGGGGACAGGCTGTAGCACGGCCCAGCTCGTCCCTGAATCCGCCCATGCCCGCACCGAACAAATTTCCTGGCTCCGCCCCTGGATGAGATGGCTTTTGGGGTACGTCTTGTCATTAGGCCGACTTACACAAAGCCATATCCTGATTGGGTAGACCAAGCATATCCATGGCCTAGAGGGTATAAAGTGCCTGAATTCTCACTATTTATCGGTTTAGGAGAGGTGTCTACTCTAGAACACAGGGCGATTCACACTGCAAAGTAGTGACGTAACTGATTACTATAAAATGAGGTTGTTCCCTAGTTCATTAATAGGAGTAGCTTTCTCCTGGTTCATCAATTTGCCAACGAACTCTGTTCAAACATGGCAACAACTGGAACAATTGTTCCACGCTCAATTTTATAAGACTGAGTCCGAAGTTACTTTGGTCGATTTGGTGAATCTACGTCAAATGCCAAACGAATGGGAAGAAAGTTTCCTTCAAAAGTTCAAGACAGCAAGAAGTAAATGTTTTGTACCTTTGCCCGAAAAGGAGTTTGTCAAAATCGCTCAAGGTTGTCTAAGTTTTGATTTGAAAAAGAAGTTCCAAGACAAGGAATTTCCTGATCTTTTCCAATTGAGCGCGGACGTGATTAGGTATGAACGATTAATAAGAGAAGAAGAGCAAATGAAAAATTCTAGTAAGGGAACTTATTATAGAGACCAAATTTTGATGTTCATACCATTAATGACGAGTATTACGATCAAATCGAAATGTGTTTGGCCGAATTAATCAAAGGAGACACGTATATTTGTCCTATAGTGGCCAAGCCTAGATCGTCAGGCAAGAATGAGCCTATAAAAGATGAAAACAAAAAGGCTAGAACGTTCTCGATCGATGTAACTAAAGCTGACCTTATATTTGATAAACTATATAAGGATATACAGATAAAGCTAAGCGATAAACATAAATTCAAGCCCTGAACAAGTTAAGGGTAAAAAATATTGTAAGTGGCATAATGCATGGTCACATTTGACTAATAATTGTTTTGTTTTTCGCCATGTGTTACAGGATGCCATTAAATCAGGACGAATTACGTTCGAAGATAAGAGGAAGATGGTAGTAGATGAAAACCATTTTCCATAGCCACTTGGGGTGAACATGATGACGACTAGTTTCAAAAACAAGTTGCCAAAATTCAAGTTAGTTATAGATGAAGGGGAAGAGGACCCTGGACCACATCCCAGCGTCTTTGAACGTATCAAAGGAAAAGAGCCTGAAAAGGATGAAGACGTCCTATGTGCAAAATGTAAAAGAGATGTGAGTGGGAACACAGAGAAACCAGGGATATGGTAGCATCACCATCGCCCTAGTTTTTTCTAAACGCTCAGTCTGGTAGAGGGCGAAGTACATCATTCTATAAGGAATCGCCTTTCGAGAGGCAGTTCAGGCCAGTAAATAATGGGAGAACATTCAGGCCGCAACCTCGCCAACCAAATGTAGGGCATTCATTCCAGTATAATGCAGGAAGAACGATACCCTTCAATGAGATGACTAGAACCCAAGAAAGGCATTTTCAACGGAACTATGGACAGATGATGAGGCAACGACGGGGAATGCCACGTCCTAAAGCGCCTAGACTACTCGAGGTAGCCAATCAAAATGTTTTCAAAAACAGTGAAGAGACTGGTACAGTTGAATCGATAAAAGAATTGCCAGAGACTTCTTCTGGGAGGTCGAAGTTTGAGCGAGACAGAAGAGATGGAGAAGATCCAGATCAGTCCCTTACTATTCAGTTCGGTACGTTACTTCCTGTCATGGCTAATAATTATTTGCTAGCCAATGAGTTCAAGAATAAAGAGAAAGAAGAAGAAGAGAGGGAGGATAACGAAGAAGAAGCATGCGTGTTGGAATATGAAGAAGGCCAAACTTCTAGAGGGGCTTACGATGATGAAGGAAATGATGGTATGACGGATATCGAAGAAGAAATTGATTTGGAAGCAGAAAGAAGAAAAAGAGGAGTATCGTACAATACTCTGTTGAAGCAACTACATCGAGAGGGGGTTCGTGAAGTGAACTTGTTGGGGGAACCGTCTGGGCATTCTTTCGATTATTACGTGTTGTATGGGACGCCCAAAAGGAGAAAGAGAGATCCTCGCTCTGAAAAGTAGTGACCACCTCCAAGAATAATGCCTCCTCCCACCGGTTGGGTAACTGAAAAAGAAGCATTAGAAAACAGTAAAAAGGAAATTCAGGAAACGGAAGCTCAGTGCGACATGCTGTACGTTGACTTATCACAAAACGATAACTCGACAGAGGACAAGCAGGAAGTGAAAATAGATGCCGTCGAAAAGGTTATTTTTAAGCGACCAGTCATGAAGTTAACTAAACACTTGAGGTCATTGTACGTTAAAACTCTAGTTAACGGCATACCTATGACAAAAGTGTTTGTCAATAATGGAGCAGCTATAAACACTATTCCATCTAGGATGATGAGGAAATTTGCAAAGACAGAAAGTGATATGATCCCAACAGAAGTCGTCCTTACGAGTTTCAATGGAGGAGCAACTTCAGCTAAAGGGGTTATGTCATTGGACATAACTATAGGGACAACTACTAGGACCACAGTCTTCTTTGTAATAGAAGGTCCTACTAGTTACAATGTGTTATTAGGAAGGAATTGGATACACGGAAGTCGCTATATACCCTCATCGCTCCATCAATGCCTGATTTTTTGGAATGACAAAGGCAAAGCAGAAGTAGTACAAGCCGATCATAGACCTTTTGTCGTAGAAGCAAACTCAGTAAAAAGGTTCATGTACGAAGAAAATTATGGACCTGTCAGAGTAGTCCAAGATGGAGAAGAAACTCAAATTGTCGCGCAGAGTGAAGAGCCGTTTTCGGTGGATGCACTTACTGAAATGTTCAGTCAGATGAGGCCAAGCATAGTGGCCCTAGAAGAGCCAGTAATTGTCAAAAGAGTAATCAAGGAGTTTTAAATGAGTTGTAAGCAACAAAGACAAATGGCTGATATTCAGGCCTTCAAAATCAAATTAATGGCTTTCGATAAAGAATGTAAGGACAAGACCAAAAAAGAAACAGCCTTGGAAGCATTGAGAGACAAATTGGCAGTGTTCGAGTTGGAACAAAACATTGGTCGAGAAGTCAACAAGGTGGATTGTTTAGAAGAAGAAGTGCCTATAAGGGAATTGGATGATGAAGTAATGGGGATCACCAACCCTGAATACGCTCAAGCACAAGACCCTCTAATTAAAGTGAATATTGGCAATAAAGGGGAAGATCGCCCAACCTTCGTCAGCCAGATGCTCGATTAAGAGGTTAGTGATAAATTAATCGCTTTATTAAAGGAATATAAGGATTGTTTTGCTTGGGAATATGAACATATGCCTGGTTTAGATAGAGGTTTGGTGGAACATAAATTACCAACCAAGCCAAACTTTAAACCTCATAAACAACCTCCTAGGCGTTTTGCTCCTAATATACTCCCTGAAATTAAGAAAGAAATAGAGCGATTATTAAAAGCAGGCTTTATTAGAACAGCCAGATATGTCGAATGGTTGTCCAATATCGTGTCAGTACTAAAAAAGAATGATAAATTAAGGGTGTACATAGATTTTAGGAATTTAAACATAGCCACACCCAAAGATGAATATCCAATGCCTACGGTAGATTCTTTAGTAGACTCGACTGCCGGACACGTAATATATTCCTTCATGGATGGGTATTCAGGATACAATCAAATTTATATAGTTGAGGAAGATATACACAAAACTGCCTCTAGGTGCCATGGATCTGTAGGATGTTTTGAATGGGTAGTTATGCCCTTCGGCCTAAAAAATGCAGGAGCAACTCATCAAAGGGCAATGAACTTGATTTTTCATAATATGATAGGCAAGTTTGTTGAGGTGTATGTAGATGATATAGTGGTCAAACCCATTAAAGAGGAAGATCATTTTGAACAATTGAGATGTTCATTTGAGCGAATGAGGCAATATAAACTAAAATTGAATCCCTTGAAATGTGCATTTGGCGTTAATGCACGAAACTTCTTTGATTTCTTAGTACACAAAAGAGGGATTGAATTTGATAAAAATAAAGCGAAGGCTATTTTAGAGGCCAAATCACCTAGCAATAAAAAAGAATTGCAAAGGTTTCTAGGCCAAGTAAAATTTTTAAGACGCTTTATTTCTAACTGTGCAGGGCGAACTAAAGCTTTTTCGCCACTTTTAAAGTTGAAAAATAGGATGAATTCGTCTGGAAAGAAGAGCATCAAAAGATTTTTGAAAGACTAAAGACATATTTATCAAATCCACCAGTGTTGGTTTCACCAATCCAAGGACGGCCAATAAAAGTATATATATCGGTTGAACAAGAATCAATAGTTGAAATGGACGCGCAAGAAGACCAATTTGGTGAAGAAAGAGTGATTTACTCTGTCATTGAGAAATGTGAATGTAATTACTCTGTCATTGAAAAATTATGTCTTGCATTGTATTTCACATGTACGAAATTAATGGCTTATTTACGGCATGTAACCGTTTATTTGATTTCTAGAGTAAATTTGGTTAAGCATATGTTCTCTCGCCCTATTTTACACCAAAGCGTAGGCCTTTAGACGTTAGTATTGTCAGAATTCGAAAACAATATATACCCCAAAAGGCAATAAAAAATCAAGCTTTGATAAACTTTCTGGCCGATCATCCATGCCTTAACATGCCTGAAGAAATTGAATTAGAAATCAATTTATTCGAATTAAAACCTTGGGTTTTGTATTTCGATGGGTCAAAAATATCTAAAGGTGCAAGAATAGGAGTAGCATTGATAAATCCTTTAAGAATTTGTTACAAGTTCGCATTCACTTTAGATAGGATGTGCACCAACAATCAAGTCGAATATGAAACCTTAATCGTGGGCCTAGAATTAATGATAGATATGGAAGTAAAGAATGTGATCGTTAGAGGCGGTTCTCAATTGGTAATTCACCAATTAATTGGTGATTTTAAGTGCCAAAGGGATTCCATTATAAGTCATTATGAAATCGCCCAAGAGTTGTTGGAAGAATTCGACCAAGTAAAGTTTCAATGTGTTAATAGGATATATAATGACGTAGCAAATGAGTTGGCTCAGATGGCCTCAGGGCATTCAAAGGCTTTAAATTGGAAAGCTACTTATGAATATGGAGTAATATTGTCCGTAGTCCAAAAAAGGGCGAGAATGATTGAAATTCATTGCATACAAGATGGAGATGCAATAGATTGGAGGGCAGAGATTAAAAGGTTCCTTAAAGAACCAAATAAAGGAGATAATAAAAAAATGAAGTTGCGTTTGCTAAACTATACACTGATAGATGAGAAGTTATTTAAGAAAACGCTCTGATGGTATATTGCTAAAATGTGTAAGTTTGCAAGAAGCCAGAACAATCATGGCTGAGGTGCACGAAGGGATATGTGGAGCTCATCAAGTTGGCCAAAGGATGAGATGGTTAATTATTAGAAATGGATATTTTTGGCCCAAGATGGGAGAATCATGCGTTCAGTATGCAAAGAGTTGTCTAGCATGCCAAAAGTATGGTCCAATACAAAGGGCGTCAGCACGAGAGATGGCACCTATTATCAAACATTGGCCGTTTAAGGGTTGGGCGATAGACCTGATAGGAAACATTTATCTCCCATCGTCCAAGCAACATACCTTTGTTATAGTTGCGACTGATTTGTTTACTAAATGGGTAGAAGCGATACATTTAAAAGAAATCACCCAAAAGAGTGCCATAGAATTTATCCGTGATCATATTATTTACAAATTTGGGATTCCACAAACTTTGATGGTAGATCACGGAACTTCTTTAAATGGAGATCAAGTGAATAAATTCTTAAGCGAGTTTGGAGTCAAAATAGTGAACTCCACACTGTATTACGCTCAATCCAACGGACAATCAGAATCTTCTAATAAGATTCTAAAAAATATCATAAGAAAAATGATAGATGAAAATGTCAGAAATTGGCACGAATGTCTAAACAATGCTTTATGGGCTTATAGGACGTCGCCTCGGTCAAATACCAAAATCACTCGTTTCCAACTTACTTATGGACAGGAGGCCGTTTTGCCTATGAAAATTAACGTGCAATCGATTAGAGTGTGTTTGCAACATAAGTTAAGTAGTGATGAGTATACCGAATCACTAGTTCAAAACTTATTGGATATACCGAATCACTACTTCAAAACTTATTGGAGTTGGATGAATTAAAGTTAGGAGTCCTAGATAGATTGCAAATTCAAAAACAAAGGATGGCTAAATTTTATAATAAAAAATTTATAGTCAAGTCATTTAGCCTGGGCGAATTGGTTTGGAAAATAATACTCCCTTTGGATAGCAAAGATCCAAAATATGACAAGTGGTCGTCCAATTGGAAAGGGCATATAAAGTAAATAGTGTGTTGCCTAATGGAGCCTATCATTTGGAAGATTTAGATGGCACCAAGCACATGAGGTTCATTAATGGTAAATATTTTAAAAAATATGTTCATTCCTTATGGAAAAGTGAACAAATAAAAGCGTAATCAAATTGCGTTGAACGATCGTATATAAAAAGGGCCAGAACGAAATACGTTCAAATAAATCCCTTTATTATCAAACATTCATTACAAATTACGAGATACAAAATACTAAATGCTCTATAAGCTACAATTGAGAGCAAACTAATCTCTCGGTCGATCGCCAAGTAAGAGGGTGAGCTGGCCTTGATTGCCATCCTGTTCGCACTGCTGCAAAGGTAAGCGGAGAGGCCGAGAAGCACTCTCAGCAAGCAGAAGGGACGAGAAGCACCCTCACATCGCCTACCTAAATGCATCGCTGCAATAACGAGCAAGAAGACTGAGAAGCACTCTCAGCAAACAAGGTAGCTTGACAGGCATCCTCAAAAATTGTCTTCCATCATTGAACTCCTTGTAAAGAATATGGAGACGATGGGAAGAACTTCGCTAGCCAAAGAATATTTCATATATCTCCCATACCAAAGGTGACATCAAAACAGGTGACAAAATGGGCGGAACAAATGATCTATTTCTATGGAAGATGAAAATTTTGGATCGATCGTTGAGATGCCAAACGATGGCAGCAAATTAGTTTTTGAAGAAAA